GGTGTGAGAGCGGGAATAAAGAATTGCTGTTTGAACCTACAAAGCTGTGAGTGCCTCGTGATTCTGGTGCCAAGCCGAGACATTGGCCTTGGCAGCAAGTGTCTCTAGCAGCTACTCCCTAAATTCTCTCCTGTGAGAACCTATAGTGTGCCTTTAAATTCACTATAACATAAAAAGTAAGCCTGTGGGGATGGGGGTGTGGCTCGATGGTGAGCACTTGCCTACCTGGGTTCCATCCTCCACGCTATAAAAATAAACTCATTAAAATGCTCATGAACTCCTATGCTCAAACCTAACTCTCATTACAACACTGAAGAGACACGATATATCACAGAATGAAACTGATCTCAATCAAAAGGTTAATTAAATGTTACTTATGACACGTGCATCATTTTATTGATGTACTGAGCCACTAACAATGTTCTGAAAATGAAAGTCTCATTCTATTCTATAAAGTTAACTGGGTGGTATGCATGCTTTTTTCCCCTCCCTTTCTTTGCAGTATTGGGGAACTGAACCCAGGGTACTCTACCTCTGAGCTACATCCTTGGTTATCTCTCTCATCCCAATCCCCTTTCTTTTTTGAGACAGGGTCTTGCTAAATTGATGAGACTGGCCTCAAAACTTGTGATCCTCCTGCCTAAGCCTCCTGAATCACTGGGATTACTGGCATGTGCCACTGTGCCCATCCAATACACACCTTGTTTTAACAGTGAAGTGCAAGTATAATCCTATACTCAACCAGAATAACTGCTAACCACTAAATACATTTAAGGGCTGGGGATGTGGCTCATGCGGTAGAGCGCTTGCCTGGCACGCGCGGTGCTGGGTTCAATCCTCAGCACCACATACAAATAAAAATGTTATGTGCGCCGAAAATTAAAAAAATAAATATTAAAAAATTCTCTCTCTCTCTCTTAAAAAAAAATGAAATGCAATTGGCTAGGAAAATTCTTGGGGAACTTTAAAATAAATAAATAAATAATAAATACATTTAAAATCAGTGTACAGTTTATCCGTAACATTTAACAAAGACGGACTCCTTGCTTTTGCCTGCAGACATATGATGGCTAAAGCAGGACTAGAAACATCGCATCTCTGCCTCCGTTTTGCATCAAGCCTCCTTTGTTTTGAGTCACGTCTGATTAATAAATATCTTTCTTTTTTCTTTTATTCTTTGGTACTGGGGATTGAATCCAGGGGCACTTTACCACTGAGCTATATCCCCAGTCCTTTTATTTTTTGAGACAGGGTCTCACTAAATTGCTAAAACTGGCCTCAAATTCCTAACTATCTTGTCTCAGCCTCCCCAGTCAATGGGATTACAGGTATGTACATCCTGCTCCCTCAGCTCAATAAAGAGGCAACAGCAACTTCCTATACAAACAGGGCCTAGCCAGACCGGACCAGAGATAAAACTGGACAGACCACACCTGCCCAAGGTCACTTGCTTTAGAAGCCTCCAGCCATGCAAACCCACACCATAGGCTTCATTTCCCATTAGCTCAATGCCACCAAGTTAGCTGCACCTCAAAGTCATTGTCAATTCCTCATCCGAGACAAGGCTAAGGACTCGGGTCCCGTTTTCTTCCTAGTGTAACTACATTGATTAAAGTTTATTTCATGCTTGTCCATTTCTTTTTCTCTCTGGTTTTCTGGGCGAGTGGAGGGACCCAATTTGCTGGATCCCCAGAGTCAGGTCTCTGGCCTTGGACCCTGCAGCAACTCACTCACATTTACAAACTAATCACTCTTGGTATTATACACCTCCTCCTGTTGGCCTCAAGGACACACACACAAAATCAGTAAAACGAAACTTGAGAGAAGGCCCAGGTGACTGCTTGACAACCAGAGAAATGATTTCTTTCAAATGGATACATTCATAGTAACAAAACCACTATGAGCTCAATGCCACCAAGGTAGCTGCTATTATGGACAGACTGCACAGCCTTAAGCAGAACTGAAATCTAGATTTCTCCAGCCCTGAATTTGTTGTTGAAGTGTCCTTGTAGCCCAGTGCAATGGCACATGCTTGTTATCCTAAACCCAGTGATTTGGGAGATTGAGGCAGGGGGTGGTTGCAATTTAGAGGCCAGACTGGGCAATTTAGCAAGACCCTTTCTCAAACAAAAAAGGCTGGGAATGTAGTTCAGTGAGAGTGTGCTACTGGATTCAATCCCTAGTACTGCTAAATAAATGAAAAAATAAAATAAATAAAAAAATAGTATATAAAAACATTTTAACATATCTAAAGTTTATTCAATTTTACCTCTGAGGGTTTTCAGAGAGCGAAAGACATTTTTAAACTCAGAAAATGGGTTCCTAAATGGCTTACCCCAAAACAAGTTAGAGGTAAATGCAATTTGCATCTATAATTTCCTCATATATTAGTTTTATTTTATGTTTGGATACCAGCACTTAACCACTGAGCCACATTCCTAGCCCTTTAATCCCTTCCCCCTCCCTAATCTCAGGGGAAAACAGGATTCTTTTCTTCCTCCTTCTAGGCAGAATTATCTGTCCTTGAGCACACACCCATCACAGGAATTAAGTAATTCAGACTTTGGGAATGGCACCAGAGAAATGATTTCTTTCAAATGGATACATTCATAGTAACAAAACCACCATTAGCTCAATGCCACCAAGTGGCATTGAAATGACTATCTTCCAAACAGACATGTGAATTACAAACTCAGAGAACATGTGATATGTAGCCTTTGACTGTCTCTTGCTCCTGCTGATGGGTAAAACCAGGCTCTGGAACAGGAGTCCCCTGTGTTTCTACTTTGCTAGCAAAGCAAGAAAACTTTTTCCTTTTTCTCAAAACTGTGTCCTTGTTATTGGATTGGCATGGGGACAAGGACAGGGCTTTCAGTTAACACTGCCTCAGCCTCCGAGTCGCGATATTATAGGCACACACCATCACACCAGACGGTTGCTTTTATTTTTAAATATCAGAGTTATACTTTGGTTGACTTTAATAGAAGCAAAAAGTTTATCAGGCTTTTTTCTTGTTTTCAAATGAAAAGGCTTCACTTTAGTTGACAAAAACTTATTGAAGACACAAACTTGGAAAAGTGCCTCACGGGGGG